ACCTGGAAAAATCCCTTGGGATTCGCCTTGGATTCTCTTACTATTTTGATTTCATAGTCTCTCTTTGCTTTCCTTACATTTTTCTTAACATTCCTAGATAGTTCATTATACCTATTTCTGAGCTGCTCCTCCCCTCCCTTTAATTTCTTACATATTCCTTTCTTTATTCCTATGTCATGTTTAAGTTGTCTGGTTATCCACCTTGGCTTATTCTTATTTGACCTAATTTCGAGGTTCTAGCTAGTGTTACGTGTTATCGAGGTTCCAACTAGTGATTAGCCTACGTGTTTCGATATTCCAATTGGTGAGTATGTTATCCAGGTTCCACATAGTGTTTGTTTGACTTAATTATCGAGGTTCAAGGTACTTACGTGATATCGAGGCTCCAGCTGTTCACACTATCGAGGTTCTATTTATGGAGTACATAACGCCTTAACAAAGTTCTATTTAATGTTTACCTTAATTACCAACTCTATTTAAATAAAGGTGTTTAATTATCGTAATTCTGCATGTGTCACACCGGTCGACCAATCAGCGTCTCCGTAACAAGACACTGTTTACATGACGAATCGATGACGTAGGCAACCAGATAAATAATTCAACCAATCAATGCCCGGAACCGTGACGGAAGGGACATGCCAACACAGTACACTATTGAACTCAACCTTATCTTACATGACCTGGATCACCTGAAGATTAGACGCCCCAGTTAATGTCACCTGATTTAAATTCCTCCTAACTTAACCTAACCTAAACTGATACTAATATGCATATGTAGTAACCAAACATAACCTAACTTTGCACGTAACCTTACCTAACCTAATCTAACTTCCCTAACCTAACCTAATCTAACATTTTACTAACCTAACTCTTTTCTAACTTATCCCTTACCTAACCTTACTCTTTTCTAATTTAACTGAACCTAACCTAACTTCCCTAACCTGACCTAATCTAACTTCCCTAATCTAACCTGTCCTTAACCTAACCTAACTCCCTTTAACATAATCTAACCTAAGTCCCCTTAACCTAACCAAACTCTCCCTTTAACCTAACCTACAATGAGTTAAAGTGCAGTAAAAAATATAATGTTACACTGACCATCATCATCAGGTGTTCGCAGTTACTTGGCTGGCTGGAATGTTTACACAGAATTAATTACCTCAGGTAGTCAGCAGCAGCAACCTACCTGACGCTCCCAACATCTTAGGGTACAGTCACTAGCACAACCTCGCGGCCATTTTAAGCTCCCTGGGTTTACGTTAATCTCCCTATTGTACTCTCCCTGTCTTAATCTCCCTATTGTAGTCTGTGTCTTAATCTCCCTATTGTACTCTGCCTTAATCTCCCTATTGTACTCTCCCTGTCTTAATCTCCCTATTGTAGTCTGTGTCTTAATCTCCCTATTGTACTCTGCCTTAATCTCCCTATTGTACTCTCCCTGTCTTAATCTCCCTATTGTAGTCTGTGTCTTAATCTCCCTATTGTACGCTGCCTTAATCTCCCTATTGTACTCTCCCTGTCTTAATCTCCCTATTATAGTCTGTGTCTTAATCTCCCTATTGTACTCTGCCTTAATCTCCCTATTGTACTCTGTGTCTTAATCTTCCTATTGTACTCTGTGTCTTATTCTCCCTACAGTGCTCTTCATGTTTGTCTTAATCTCCCTAGTGTACTCTCACGGTCTGTCTTAATCTCCCTGTGTCTCCCTACCCTCCCTTTGTCCCCTATCCTTCCTATTCTTTCATATCACTTTTTATCCCCCCCCCCTGTCTCCCTGGTCCCCCATTTCCACCCATTATTTCCCTAACCTCCCTTTCCCATCTCCCTCTCTATTCTCCCTGCGAGGTCATACAAAATTGCACTGGCTATTCGTTCATCGATTGTTGTTGTTTACATCTCCAGCGTTCGCGCAGGAGTGGTCGGCTGAAGTCGGATTCCTAAGATATACGTCATTCAGTTAATACACGGGAGTTTATCAGTGACGTAATCATAGTATCTTGTGTCTTGTATGTTCACTGTTAAACACAAAAGTAAAATAATAATTCCTACACCAACATACAAGCACAATAGTTCCACCACGGTCGCCATGTTGATTTGTCACTTATAGCAACCGATCAAAAGTGTTTCACGCAGCGATGTTTTACAATCAATTATCGTAGCTATACTTCGGCAATGACGTCACGAGAAAGGGACCAACCATATCACCTCTCGGTAATGACGTCAGAAAATGTGTCCAACCATAACACTTCTCGGTAGGGACGTCATGAGCAAGCGTCCAACTATATTACTTCTCAGTAAGGACGTCATGAGAAAGCGTCCAACTATATCACTTCTCAGTAAGGACGTCATGAGAAAGCGTCCAATTATATCACTTCTTGGTAATGACGTCATGAAAATTAACCAACCACAGCCTTTGTTTTTTCCTCCCATCCACATCTCGCAGATATATCTATAAAATGTTTATTATCTACACATTGAGGATACTTAAATAAGATTAAGGTAAACCAATCGAGTTTACGGTAGAGTCTCAGTGTAATTTTTCTGCCAATCTGGACAATACGTTTGAGTTCGTATCTTACCCAACCTTAACGTAAACAAATTATCTATTACTTAACTTAGATGAACCTACCTCTTAACCTAACCAACCTTAACCTAACCAAATTATCTCTGAAGTAACTTAGATGAACCTATCTCTTTACCTAACCTAACCAACCCCCCCCCCCCGACCGGTTTCGAGAATTATCTGTCTCGATACAGACGAAGGCGCAGCAGCAAGTCTTCCCAGAACCGGTCGGCCAGTCCTCAAAATGTCACACTGCATTATAAAGCAACACTCGCCTTGTTCACCTTGTTCATAAATAACTGAGACTTTCCGTAAAACTCGATCGCTAAATACGTTTTGTGTTTACATTTCAAATAATTATCTAACTTCTTTAATACAAGACTAACACCACTTTCTATGTTTTCTTCGTATTCTCTCATGTACATATATCAAAACAAAATGACATCAGACCTCGAACAGCCGCCTCGTAAGAACACACTCAACACAAGATCTACACCTGGTAAACAGAATAACACTCAACACAGAATCTCTTTAGATATACGATACAAGATACCTCCAACATATACTTAATACAGCTAGGGTCTTTCCTCTCCTTATGGGTAAATATTACTTGACTATACAATAAATATATTCACTCATAATTTCAAATTCCCTGAGCATCCTGAGTTATTTGATCAGGTTAGGATAGGTTTGGTTAGGTTAGGTTAGGTTAGGTTAGATCCCACATGCAGACCCTTGTACTAGGTGAATGAACGCTTATATGTAGACCCCAGCAAGATAAACATCACCATGACCTTCTGTATATTGATGTGTTGATTCATGTGTGTGTGTGTGTGTGTGTGTGTGTGTGTGTGTGTGTAGTGTGTGTAGTGTTGGTATGAGTATACACAATTATTCACAACGTTCGATTTTTGTCGTAAGAGAAAATGTAAGACTTTCTACATGGACGTATACAAATGTTTATGATAGGTTAGGTTAGGTTAGGGGTAGGTCAAGTTAGGTTAGATTAGGTTATGTGTAGGTCAAGTTAGGTTAGGTTAGGTCAAGTTAGGTTAGGAATTCACAATCTTTGGGAATTCTGACCCGGGAATATAAATCCAGGTGAGAAACAATTACCTCATTAACCTGTGTCGTCATTATACCCAACAAAGAAACATCACCACACTGCTTCACCTTCCAACACAACCACAACAGGACAACTTGTATACCAGGATGGAAATAAATGTGATAAAGAGTTACTAGTGATATAAATTTTCTAAGTTAAGACACCACCTCCATAACACCTCCTATAAGGCAGTTACTATACCTGTTCCTTATCTCAGTTAAAGTACCAAGTTAATATTACCATCACTTGAGAGTTAATATACATGTAACTTATATCGAAATGACGAGTTAATGCTCATAACCTCTTCTCTAGTACATGATCTTAGTATCTAGATTAAGAGCACGGGTTAGGTTAGGTTAGGTTAGGTTTAGTTAATGAGGTGTTAGATATATTCCTCCCCATATTAATGTTATGGTACTAAGTCAACACCTGCCAACGCCTGTAATCCAAACCCAATTCTCTACTTCACATATATTGTACTCCTAAAGTAAGTGTATCCGCTTAAGACACTTGAGAGGTACTTAACTGCTTTACCTGTTAACCACTTTACCTGTTAACTACTCTACCTGTTATACACTACCTTCGTGTTCATGTATAATAAAGATAATGCAGAGTATAAAATGCCATATACAATATTTATACATAATATCATCTTTACAGCCGTACTATGACTGTGTGTGTTCGTGCGTGTGTTGCCTCGTGATAGTTAGAGTGGGCCCCCGTCCAGAAAGGACACTGTATTAACCTCCAGCACCGACACAGGACCCAGGTGGGCTAGAGAATATGGTTTCCGAGTGTACGTGTATGTGTGCGTCCCATTGTCACACAGGCACTAGTAGGTAGCTCAGTATATCAAATTAGACAATGTCATCACCTCTGACAGCCAACCATCTGTCACGGGATGGCCGTCATGACACACCTCTTGACAATATACGCGTGTCACTGAATGGCTGAAGTAATGAAAGATATTGTTTAGCTGTAGGTATTGTATAAGTGTCTTTGTACAGCTGTAGGTATTGTATAAGTTTATTGTATAATTGTATCTTCCTTGGTGTTTGACGCTGACAGTTACTGAACCGTACAGTCATGTTGATGTGGAAGAAATGAATATGACCAATTCCCTCTCCTCACTCACAGTTACTCGCCTCTCACTCACAGTTACTCGCCTCTCACTCACAGTTACTCACCTCTCACTCACTGTTACTCACCTCTCACTCACACTCGCCTCTCACTCACAGCCTCTCACTCACAGTTACTCACCTCTCACTCACAGTTACTCACCACTCACTGTTACTCACCTCTCACTCACAGTTACTCGCCTCTCACCCACAGTTATGGTGTGGAGCGGAACATGAAGTATGGACGAAGACGATGAGGTGGACTGGGCGTTAGACAGGCGGCTTGCCACAGTCTGTCCGGCCACCTGCTACCCAGTGTCACCACCTGGGAGCAGAGCCACCTGCTACCCAGTGTCACCACCTGGGAGCAGAGCCACGTGCTACCCAGTGTCACCACCTGGGAGCAGAGCCACGTGCTACCCAGTGTCACCACCTGGGAGCAGAGCCACCTACTACCCAGTGTCACCACCTGGGAGCAGAGCCACGTACTACCCAGTGCCACCACCTGGGAGCAGAGCCACCTACTACCCAGTACTACCACCTGGGAGTAGAGCCACCTACTACCCAGTACTACCACCTGGGAGTAGAGCCACCTGCCACCCAGTACCACCACCTGGGAGAAGTACCACTGCCACACTCCCCAGTTAACCCCTTTGGTGTCACTTGCTGTGAGTTGAATTTAACGTGTGATTATCTTTCTTATTAAACTGCCACATTAACCGACATATCCTACACCTAATATACCTCTATCATCACTACCCGCCCTTGTCTGAAGTATAGTGACCATAAACACACCACACTTCAGCAGGAATGACACCCTCCCTCCCTTCCTTCCCCCCCTCAGATTACACCTTCACTATTGTAACCTCACATGATCCAGCCTCTAGAATTTTAGGGTCCTTTATTAACCAGAATTTAGTACAAAGGAGCAAATAAATAAGACCAAATTTAAGCTCTCTCTCTCTCTCTCTCTCTCTCTCTCTCTCTCTTAATATCGTGACCCTGGACAGCAAAGAAACAAAACAATTAATGAGGGATTTCCATCTTCGGGACACTTCTGGGTCGTGTACAGCTCTTTGATATATTCAGCCCCGTCTTGAAATTTATAGCCATGCATAACGAAAACACAAACACATACTGTGCTTATTATTATTATTATTATTATTATTATTATCAGCGATGTAATATTGGTAAGGATATTATTAATGTTATTGTTATTAATATTACGTTTTGTTACCCTACAGCGGTGTATATCTGCTCGTACGTCAGGCAACATGTCGTCACCCGAGACAGTGAAGGTTATCGTACGATGTCGGCCAATGAACAAGAGAGAAAAAGACCTGGGTTGTGAGGTAATGTACACAGTTATCTTATCTTATCTTATCTTATCTTATCTTATCTTATCTTATCTTATCTTATCTTAGTGTTCCTGGAGTCTCAAAGGATCGTATTCTAAATTTTCCCCCATTGGCACCTCTATGACTCAGTGGTATACGGGCCAAAGTTGCCTAATTATTGAAGGTTCCAGCAAGTCTTATGATGGAATGATGACGTCACCTGGAGATTAGTTCCCTAACCAAACCATAGGTGGTGGTAGTAATGGTGGTAGTAATAGTGGTAGTAGTGGTGGCAATGGTGGTAGTAGTAGTGGTGGCAATGGTGGTAGTAGTGGTGGCAGTGGTAATGGTGGTATGGTGGTAGCAGTATGATGTTAAGTGTTAATAGTGATGATAGTAATAGTGGTGGTGGTAGTAGTGGTGGTAGTAGTGGTGGCAATGGTGGTAGTAGTAGTGGTGGTAGTGGTAATGGTGGTGAGTAGTGGTGGTAGTTAACGGTATAATGGTGGGTAGTGTAGTAGGTATAACGGTAATGGTGGTGGTAGTGGTGGTAGTAACGGTGGCAATGGTGGTAGTGGTGGTAACCAGGTAATGGTGGGTAGTGGTAGTAGTAACGGTGGTAATGGTAGTGGTAGTGGTGGTAACGGTGGTAATGGTGGTGGTAGTAGTGGTGGTAATTTGTGGCAATGGTGGTAGTGGTAGTGGTGGTAGTAACGGTGGTAATGGTGGTAGTAGTAGTGGTAGTGTATAATGGTGTTATGCTGGCAGGCAGACGTTATGTTACAGTGACAGTGGTAAAATGGGCAATAGTAGTAGTAGTGGCAATGGTGGGTAGTAGTAGTGTGGTAGTGGTATTGTGTGAGTAATGGTGGTAGTGGTAATGGTGGTATGGTATGATGTTAAGTAAGTTAATAGTGATGATAGTAGTAGTAGTAGTGGTGGTGGTGGCAATAGTGGTAGTAGTAGTAGTAGTGGTGGTGGTGGTAGTGGTGCGGTAGTGGTAGGTGACTTACATGCATGGTATATATATTCATTCTCAACACAAAGCAACATGGCTGTTTCTGTAATCACCTACACACGTGAAGAGATATGATTTAGAGAGTGGTAGCTATGTGTGTGTGGTGTGGGTGTGTGAGGTGGTGGTGTGTGGTGAGGTGGGGTGTGGTGATGTGTGTTGAGTACTGTGAAAGAGATGAGGTGTGGTGCGTGTGGTGCATGGTGACGTGCATGTGATATGCAGGGTGTAACAAACCTAACCTAACCTAACCTAACCTAACCTAACCTAACCCAACCTAACTTAACTGGACCAGAGAGTCATTAACTTGACTTCATGACGACATCTTTACAGACAAATTAATTCTTTGTTATTATCTAAAGGCGGTAAGTCTCGTGTGCGTAATTGGGTAGCAAGAATAAGCTCCCGGAAGTGAGGTAAAGAATGAAGAAACTGTAATTACTGAGAGAGAGAGAGAGAGAGAGAGAGAGAGAGAGAGACCCCAAGCCATTCTCATAAATAATAATGGATGCCCCACAACGAGGATGGCCGGCCCTAGGCGTGAATTTGTTTAAGGTGTAGAAGCTGTCATCAACACAACAACCACACCCTGAGTTAACGACTTGCATGACCCAGTGTCAAGGAATAATCCGAGAAGACCGGACAACTCGCCAACTGCACTGGCTAACCATTACCCCGGAACACGATCCATAAATCGATTAACATCCAGGTTCCCAATTACTGCTGGGTAGACAGAGGCAAATGGCGTAAAGAAATCCTGGACACACACACACACACACACACACACACACACACACACACACACACACACACACACACACACACACACACACACACAACACAAGCTTTCTTACATAACACACCACCCCTGTTTGTTGATTCACCAATACTCCCATTCTGTAATTATGTGCCCAATTTCCACTTTACTCCTTACCTCCCTACCCTTCCCTTCTACTCCCCCCACTCTAATTCTTCAAGGGTGGTAGGTACCCAAGAGCCGCTTAAATAAAGAACAGCTTATGATTATACGTTAATGGTCTTCTGGAGGCACTTGGGTAATGGACGGTGACGACGGCTAGGCTCAAGGTCAAGGGTTACAGGTGTGTGTGTAAGTTCCGCACTGGCAGAAAACTTCACCAAAGAGACAAAATTAAAATCTTCCCATTAAGATGAGATATTTTAAACACACACACACACACACACACACACACACACACACACACACACACACACACACACACACACAGTTTTTCATCATCACCAGCATCATCGGACTGGGCCCTATTAAAACAGGGCCCTATTAAGACTGGGGCCTATTAAGACGGGGCCCTATTAAAATTGGATCCTATATTGACTGGTCCCTAATAAGACTGGTCGTCAAAATTGAATTGGTTGAGTCAGGTAATTTTAGAATATAACAACAGGGCCCATTAGGACAAGGGTCTATTAGGAACAAGAACCCATTAAAACAAGGGACCCATTTGTACAGTAGCCCATTCGGAGAGGAACCTATTAGATTAGAGGCCCATCAGAAAGGGACTCAATAAGACTAAGGAACATCAGATCATAGGCCCATTAGAATAACGGCCCATCAGAACAGGGGCCCCCATAACAACAAGGTCCATCAGAACATGGGCCCAACATAACGAGGACCCATCAGAACACGGACCAATCAGAACATGGCCCCATCAGAGCATGGGCCCCCATTAGACCCAGGGCTCCTTTAAGGCCAGTCAGGGAATCAATCAGAACAGAACAAATCATTAAATATATTGACGAGTAGTGTAGAGACCCGCAAACGCGTGTGAAATGCCACTGAGTAACCTTGGAAGGATTGATTTAACAACACTGTGCTACCACCAACCTGGGTTTAATGACATTTCAAACAGCATAATACACCTCAAGTCCTGATAGCCTAGTTTACGTTCACCAGAAGATTGTTACACACACACACACACACACACACACACACACACACACACACACACACACACACACACACACACACACACACACACACGTACACACACACACACACACACACGCACACACACACACACACACACACACACACGTAAGCACACACACACACACACAGAAGCACCCACACACACACACACACATGGTGGTTTAACATTATAATGACCCCTCACATCAAACTTGCCCAGATTACAGCTTTACACCGCCTGGGGAGAAGATGACGTCACGATATCTCGACCTAACCTAACTTAACCTAATTTGACCTAACCTGACCTACTCTACCCTAACCTAATTTAAACTAACCTAATCTAATTCAACCTAACTTAATCTAACCTAACCTAACCTAACCTAACCTGACCTACTCTACCCTAACCTAGTTTAAACTAACCTAATCTAATTCAACCTAACTTAATCTAACCTAACCTAACCTAATTTCGTTAGGATGGGCTATAATTAGTTACAATGAGGTAGATGTGGAAAGGACAGATTAGGTTAGGTTAGGTTAGGTTAGGTTAGTTTACTCTAAAGAGGTCAAGCTAAGAACAGTTACAATTAGATTAACTTAAAATAAATTTGGTTTAGTTTGGGTTCGGTTAATTCCCCATTGAGTGCGTTTTAGAGTGGGTTAGCGTTAAGCCATCAACAAGAGAGTGCGTTACTGTAAGACTCTTCATGAATACAAGTGAGTCGATAGAGTGCGTGGTATTTAGACCTGTTAAATATAGGGTGCGTGATGAGTGTTTGAAAGTTGAGTGTGTGGGTTGAGTGTATTTTAGATTGGAGTGTGTGATGGCTTTATAATGTATGTCAGTCGAGTGTGTAGCTTTTGAGTGCATGACGGTCGAGTGTGTAGCTTTTGAGTGCATGACGGTCGAGTGTGAGAGTCATGCACATTGTGGGTAAGGTGCGTGGGCGTAAGGATCCTGAATGTTCCTTCCCACACTACCACCACCACCACCCTCCCCACCACCACCACCACCTCTCACTCACCACCACCACCTCCTCTCACCACTCACCAACACCTCCACCACCACCACTACCACCCTCCCCACCACCCCCTCACCACCACCACCCTCCCCACCACCACCTCCCACCACCACCACCACCACCACCACCCTCCCACCACCACCACCCCCTCTCACCACCACCATCCCTCTCTCACCACCACCATCACCACTAGCAGGTTACTATAGCTACAGTAACACACTAGTACACACTACACAGCCGAGGTCACCACCACCACCACCACACCTCACTACCTGGTGTCGTCCTGCCTACCTATGTATACATGTATAACTGTACAGATGTATGGATGTATAGAAGTATATGTATATTTGTGTTGGTGTATAACTGTACAGATGTATGGATGTATATATACATTACTGTACTGATGTAAATGTATAGGTGTATCGATGTATAGAAGTAATGTATATTTATATTGATGTATAGATGAATAATATGTAGATGTAGATGAATTTATTGTATAGGTGTATAATTGTATATTGTATAGGTTCATAAGTGTGTAATGTATACCTTAATACATTACATTGCATACATTTATAGATAAAAAATGGATAAATGAATTAGCATTTACATATATAATAATGGTTGCCCCTCGTGTACGAGGATGGCCGGCCCTTGGCGTGAATTTGTTTATGGTGTAGAAGCTGTCACCAACACAACAACCACACCCTGAGTTAACGAGCTGCATGACCCAGTGTCAAGGAGTAGTCCGAGAAGACCGGACAACTCGCCAACTGCACTGGCTAACAATTACCCCGGAACACGATCCACAAATCGATTAACATCCAGGTCCCCAATTACTGCTGGATAGACAGAGGCAAATGGCGTAAAGAAACCAAGGGGCCGCTCGCTTACGAGGCGAGCATGCTGACCATTACCAACATGTGAACGTATGTATACTGTCATAACTGCTAAAATAAGATCATACATAAGAGGTCTTGTTACAGAAGTGGTCTCGTTACAGAAAGTACCTCACTTCGCTACAGCAAGGATCTCA